GGTGAAGCTATCAGTGTTCAGGTGAGGTACCAAAGATGTGGAACTTTTCTCTGGGGGTACATCATGGAGATCTCCAACCTCTCAGGCAGGTTCAGTGAAGATGACTACCTAGAGCCCCTGTATTGGGAGCTAGTTGTACCCCAGGAGAAATAAGAGCTGCATGGAACAGCTAACCACCCCTAAAAGGGCCCACAAACAGATTCACTTACCCTGGGACCTAGTGCTGCAACCCATGTCTGAAAAGCACAGAAATTATAGATGAAAGAATCCTACTTCCCACTCACGCTGCACCTGGCTGTATGGCAGGAGGCTTTCAGGATTAGCCTGGGTCAGAAGGACTGGCAGGTAAACTTGGCAATCTCAGTCTTGCTGACAGTAGATCTGGCAGGCACCATTTTGGCACACTTCCCCATGAGCTGTGGGTAAATCTGCTCTGAACTCCACCTATCCCTGTGACATAGCAGCTCTGTGCCTGTGACGCACATGACAGGTCCAGGGCCAGGACACAAGCCCACTGAGGGCCAGGATTCAACTTCCAAGGATCAGGTCTCCAGCCACCAGGTGTCTGAACCCCAAGTGTTGGGTGCCAGGCCTCCAGCTACCTTACGTTGGCCTCCCAACAACCTGGCACTTGACCCCAGTCAGCCCACTCTTGCTGCCAGATGCCCAGCCTACAATAGTCAGAAGCCACGCCCCGAGCCTCTTCACGCCATGCTACCAGTCATTCCAAACTGGAGCAACCGATGCCCCATGCCAGGCCCAAATCATGCACTGCACTCTATCAACCACACACAGCTGGGATGGGACTGCAGCTCTGTGCACCCATGAACAGAATTACAAGGCCAAGGCTCGGCTAGGCCCACAGTGCTGACTACTCAGTGCATCGTGGCTATGCACCTCCACCAATCCCAATGATGGTACTGTAGCCAAAGAGCCTCCATCGTGTGCTACCCTCACACAGCAGGCAGGTGGGTATAACCCATTCAGGGAAAATACCATGAGGACCTAGTATGGGCAGTTTGTGGGACTGTATTCCTGAACTCCAGGGAACATCCACTGCATACGACCAATCCTTCCAGGCTAGGAGAGGTAGCAAAGTTGCATAATATATACAAGGAGACACCGAGATCAGGAAAATGGGGGAGGCAGAGGAGTATGGTGCAAATGAAAGAGAAAAAATTCTAGGGAAAGTTCTAAGAAAAAGATATGCAAACTTTCTTATGAAGAGCTGAAAGTAATGGTTATAAAAATGCCACCAAACTTGGAAGAATGAATGCAGTGAGAATTTCAACAAAGAAAGAACATTTTTAAAAGATGAAAATGGTAGCTTCAGAGATGAAGAATATAGATAGTAAGAACTAAAAAATACAAGAGAGGGGCCAATAGAAGATTGAAACTATGCACTGAAAATAAGACATTCATGATAAAAAGAGTCAACAATGTGTAGCTGTTTTATGTTCATGAATTACAAGACCAGGTTACTAGAAGCACATAACAGATTCAATGCAATTCCTGCAGCAATTTTAATAAAAATAGGATAACCAATACTTAATTGAGCTGAAAAACCCCTGAGTCCTAAGGGGTTAAATGTAGTATCACTTTCCCTGACTTCAAACTATAAAGAAAGTGATAATAAAAATTGCATAGATTTTGAATAAAACCAGACACAATGACCAATGGAGCAGAACTGAGGGTGCAGAAATACATGCACATACACGTGGACAACTAATTTACAACCAAGTAGCCAAAAATATACAAGAAGGAAAACCTCTTTAATAAATGGTGTTGGAGAAAACTGAATAACCACATGACAAAAGAAAGAAACCAGGCCACTATCTTACACAATCATTAATCCAAATAAAGACTTGTGAGACTTGATATAATAAAATAAATAGAAAAAAAAAAAAAACAGGAGGTTATCTCCTTGACATCAGCCTTAGGGATGTCTTTGGGGACACAACTCCAGCTCAAGGGAAAGAAAACAAACACATGGGACCACATCAAACTAAAAAGCTTCTGCACAATGAAAGAAACTATCATCAAAATGAGAATACAATGTACTGAGGGGAGGAGATATTTGCAAGTCATATAACCAACAGAGGGTTAATATCCAAATAAAAAAATAATTCATAAAATGCGACAAAAAAGCAAACTACCTGATCAGCAAAATGGCAGAGGTTCTGAGCAGACATCTTCAAATAAGCAAAAGGCCCACAGGCATGTGAAAAGATGGTCATGGTCTCTTATTATTAGAGGAATGCAGGTCAAAACAAAGAGATATCACCTCTACCTGTCAGAATGACTGTTATCCAAAAGATAAGAAACAACAAGTGTTGGAGAGGATGTGGAGAAAAAGAAACCTGTTGGTGGAAAAGTAAATTGGTACAATCATTATGGCAATCAGGATGAAAAGTCCTCAAAAAATTAAAAATAGAAATTCCATATGATCCAGTTATTCTTCTTCTGGGCATTTGCCCAAAGATTACAAAAACACTAATTGATACAGAGCTACATGCACCCACACATATTTATTACATCATCATTGACAATAGCCAAGAGCTGTAAACAACCTAAGGGCCATCAGCAGATGATAAAGATTTGGTATATATGCAGAATGGAATACTACTACACTATTAAAAAAAAATGGCATTTGCAACAATAGGGGTAGACCTAGAAGGGATGATGCTTAGTGAAATAAGTCAGAGAGGTGGAAACACATACCATGTGATTTCATTCATATGTGGTACATAGAGAAGAAAAAGAAATGAATGAACTACATAGAACAAAAACAAACTTTTAGACTGTAAAACCAAATTATTGGTAACCAGTGGTTAGGGGAATAGGTCAATTGAGAAAAAGGGGCCAATTTATTATGAAGGATGAAACTAATTTTAGTGGTAAACTTAATGTCTTATATACAGATGTTGGTTTATAATGATGCACACCTGAAACTTACGTAATGTTATAATGCACTGTTCCTTCAATAATATAACTTCAAAAAAATATCAAAGGGGAACTATAGAACATGAGGCATGACAGTTCTTGGTCAAAATTTAAAAAAGGAGTTTCCCAGACAAGCAAAACCTAAAATAATTCCTCACCACTAAAATAACCTTGCAAGAAATATTAAAGGGACTTCTTGAAATGGAAAAGAAGTGTTACTGATATGTAGGGAGAAAAACTTCACTAAAAAAGCTTAATCCATAGTAAAAATAGTGGCTCAATCACTTATAAATGACACACAAATATTAAGACACAAGTAGTCATAACTAAAGCCCAAGAATTAATAAAGATTACACACACACACAGACAGACAGATAGACACACACACACGCATATATTTGACAAAGATATAAAATGGGGCAGCAAAAATAAAATTAAGGCAGAAAGCAAAACTTTAATTTTGGAATATGTTCAAATATAAATAGTTATCAACCCAAAATAGAACGTCATACATAATTATAGTTGTGTGTCATGTAATTACAAAGCAAGAAGTCATAGCACATACATTACAGAAAATGAAAACAGAATCTACATAGATCAATAAAGAAGGCGATCAAATCTCAAGAAAATGAAGAAAGGAACAGAAAAAAGAGAACAATTAATGGTATGGCAAGAAATACAGATCAATAATTGCCTTAACTATAAATGGACTAAATTATATACAAGTGGATGAAGATGTAGTATATTTACTGGATGAAATATGACTCAGCTATAAAAAATGATGGACACTTGCCATTTGCAACAACATGGATGGACCTTGAGGGGATTAAATGCTAAGTGATAGAAGTGAGATAGAGAAAGGCAAATACTATATTGTTTCCATTTATATGTGGAAGAAAAATAAAGCAACTCAACAAACAAAACAAAAACAAATCCTAAAACTCTGAACACAGTATGGTAGTCAAGAGTTAAGGGGCATAGGGAGTGGGTAAAACAGGTAAAGGGAGTTGACTGGTGGTGGATGGAAACATTTGGTGGAGATTGTCATGTAGTACATACAGTTGTCAATCTGACACCTACATATAGTTGTAAACCAGAGTTATTTCAATAAAATGTTTTAAAGGATTTAAGGGAGTGTTTAGTATGGTACCAGCAGCTATATAAATAGCAGCAAAAAGAAGAACAGATTCAGTTGCTATCCTTGTTTAGTATGTGGTTTATAGAGTGTACAAAATTCAAGAATTTCCACAATCTTAAGTTGAGAAGGACAAAATGGTAGGAAACATTGAGAAACCTCCACCCTCATGACCTAATACTGAAATTTAATTAACTGACTGCTGTCCAGTGTGGTGCATTATGTACTAAGGGGAAACACAATGTCAGATGGGATAGGAGTCAACAGGCCTGGCATCAAATCCTTCCATTAACAAATCTATTCACAGGGCCTCCCCGGTGGCGCAGCGGTTGAGCGCTGGGTTGCGAAGCTGCCCACAGCCTCTGCAGCGCTAGTTCAATCCCTGGCTGCTCCCCGGCCACCGGAGGAGGGTCCCACATGGCGCGCAGACCTCTCCTGCCGCCCGCTGCTCCCCTCAGCAGTGTACTTCGGTCCTTCTGCCTGCTCTGCTCCCCTCTCTGGCTGTGGTGAATTCTCTCACCCTCCCGCGCTTCTGACTGTACCCAGTGCTTGTATAAATAAATAAATAAATCTTAAAAAAATAAAAAATAAAATAAAAAAATCTATTCACAGACCTTCCATTAGTAACTCTTAGATCTTTATTCACCTTATATCCTTCTCCCCTTATTCTCTTTAAAATTATGATGTTTCACTAAATGAAAGCTAAGACCCTTTCTAGTTAAAATAATTCCATGTTGTTATTCCAAATTCCTAAGCAAAACAATTCATTCTACTGGTTTCTACAAATTTTGAAGTTCAACACCTCCTGTAAAAGTGTCCTCTGAAATCAGGAAACTGGAAAATACAATCTGAATATCACAATGCAATCACAAACAAAGCATGTGCATAAACTTTGTGTTTCTTATATATAAATGATCATTACCTGGAAAGAAATTCTTTGTTGAAATAAAAATACTCCAGACTCAATCTTTCCAAAATCTCTATCAATCTGACAAACTCCTTATCAAGAGATTCTTTGTCATTTCTCAAACTGTTCAGCAACGTTATGCAAAGATTTAGCTTCTCACCTGTGGTGTGTTTGAATTCCTACAAGGGAAGTCACAAAACATGTTATTTTTAACATTCAAGTGTTAAAAATAAACAAGTGACAAAGACTATGTAAAATGCCCTCTCAATTTAGCACGTGTGTATTGGGTCCCGAATTTGAGCTTGGTTTCCTTTTTAAGATAAAGTGGTTCCTGACCACTTCATCAACTACCACAAGTGCTTTCGAAAGGAACAAGGAAATGCAGTAAAATCAGTATTTGTTGATTAGAATATTCAAAAGTGACTTAAATAGGTTAGCAAAGGATTCGAAATTGAAATTCCTGTTTTCAGACTTCATTTCTTAAAATAGGGATTGATGGATGTTAGGAAATAATCTGGCGATGAAGACAAATAATAAGGGATGGATAAATAAGAGATTTCTTCTTAGATCCTTTCTTTCTAACAAAACTGGGACTATAGCTACCCAAGTATCAATAGTTCCCATTTTTCCAACATTCTGCTAATTTCTGGGATAAAACTCTAAGTCTCAGGAATAAGATTCTTCTGCACAGCAATCATTCTATCTAAAAAGGAGAATTTCAGTAGGTAAAAGACAAATTCAAGCTTAGACTTAGCAGTTCTCAAAAACACTTGGATAACTTGTGATCTTTCATTAAATCCTCTCACTTCTTTGTCTCTCAGGACTGTCATTCATTCTCACATTCTCTGCTTCTCCTCATACTCACACATATTCTCCCTCATATACCCACACTCACACATATAACGTCAGACTAAGATAGCAGCAAACAAACAAACAAAAAAAAAAGATAGCAGCAGGCAATGACCAAGTCTTAGAAATGGTACTGTACATAATAAGTATTACTTGGGTGAAGAAACTAGAAGAAAAAACAGAAAAGTTACAAAATACAGAACACTTACAGTAAGCTTGTTACCCCAGTTCTCATTCACAGTGGTTTCTGGATTAGCTACCCACTGCAGAGAGTCATCAAAGAGGGTTTCAATCTCAGAAACGTCATCATGCTGAAAAAGAAATTTTCAGCTAGGAAACAGGCAAAAGGCATATGCTGTTATCATATACCAGAAGTATTGTTTAGACCAAAATTCTACTGCGAGGAAATCCAGGGAGAAAGAAACACCAGCCAGAGACTCCCCCTTGCCCCAGGCTGTTGTCATGTGTAGATGTTAAGCCTCTATACACACACTCGGTGTACAGAGAGACTTCCCTTCCAACATTCTCAACCCCCTTCCAAATAAGAGGAAGCAAGCATTTTCACTGATTCTGTTTTCATTCATCAAACTAAATGCTACTTATCTATGTATGGTAGGCACTGTGAAAGGAACTGGAAATATGAACATGAGCAAGCCATTCTCCACTTCTCTGGCCATCTAGAGTTCCCAGTCAAAAATCAAAATGGAGAAAGAGGAACTAGCCATTGGCTAGAAAAAAATGCAGAGAAGGAAACTGCTCAACAGATACCACGCCTTCAACTATTTGATACTAAAGATTAACCTGTAGGAGAAATAAGATCGAGCAATCTCTAACGGTCAACCGTTAGTCCTGATTAATCCAAAACTGGAGGACAACTTTGCAAGGTTTTAGAAAAAGTTTTTCTATTCATAGTCGTGGGTCCCAGCCACACAGACATTCCTGCTCTCCACCAACAGGCTGTGGCGGGTCACCCACAGATGTTCTTAGCCAGAGGAAAACCAAGAGCTCTGCATGTCATACAATACCAGCTCCTTTCGCTTGGCTGTGAAGTGCACTGCCTGCTGTCCATGTTCTTCCAGGAACAGTCGCATTTCCTGATTCACCATCGTGTCCAGAGTTGACAAGTTGATTAAACTGCACTGCCACTCAGTTTCAGGGTTCTGAAACAATTACCAAAAATGTCCTCAGCTGTCATTCTAATCAAAGACATTCATTATTCTTATTTCATGAAGATGATACCCAAAGGTCAAAGTAATTGTCCCCATCAAATGGCTCTAAGTAGTCTTGTAGAATCCTCCCATACCCCCAAAACCTGGCTGCATTTCTGGTAAGATGGCTTCAATTTAACATGTGTTCATTCCTAAGAAGACTCACTAAGGAGATAGCATTACATGTGGGTGATGAAAACTGCTAGAGCCCTAATGTTATGAAAATAGGCGGAGCTAAAAGTTCACAGGGAAAACAACCATTGCGTTGCTGAATCCAGCTCCTTGAAAACAGATGGGTTTTTTCTGTCTCCCTTCCATGCTGAGAAGGCTCTCTGATGATGCTTTGCAAAGCATGCTTCCTATATACCTCTCCAAATCTGTCTCCTGTGACATTCCAGAGCTATGACAACCAACAGGGTCAGAGGGCTTTCCAGATCTCACTGAGCAGGCCTTTCCAAGTCCATCAATGGGACAATCCTCCACACCAGAGTTGGCCAATGGTTTAACCACTGCATCAAAGCAAAGGACAGCAAAACTGGCATCTGACATGACTACCAACTCAGAGACTAAGGAGAGAAACCAGGTTGTGGGAGATTTGCTGCAAGTTCCCTCAGTCTGGCAGTTTGGCTTAGTTTCAAAATCACAGCAAAGTGGTGAGTATTTGAAACATAATGTCATCCTGGCCTCAGCAAAGTAACCAAGGCTTCCTGAAATGGCTTCAGAGGAGGAGGCCTATGGGAGAGATTCTACTACCTTTGTTAAAGGCCTCCTTCCTTCCCTCTGAGGTTATCATGGCTGTTAACAGGACATTCTGACATGTCCATCTCCCACAGACAAGCAGAGGCCAATCAAGTGGTGAAAAGAAAGCCACTTGCTAAAGAAAGTGTTTCCTGAGATAGCAAGCACTTAACTGGACAGGACAAAGGTGTGATCATGTGATGGGGAGGGAGATGCCCAACTTTTTTTTTTAAGATTTAGTTATTTATGCATACAAGAACTGGGATATAAGCCAGAGGTGTGGGGGTGAGAGGATTCACCAGAGATAGAGTGGGGAACAGAACAGGCAGACTGACTGAAATACACTGCTGAGGGGAGCAGTGGGCACGAAAGGAGAGGTCTGCCGCACCATGTGGGTAGCTCCCTGGTCGGCCAGAGATCGAACTCATGCTGTAGAGGCTGCAGATAGCTTCAGAGTGCTGTGCTTAACCCCTTTATCCCCAAGAGGCCTTTTGATTGTGTCTGCCTGAACAAAGATCTTTTGAAAAGGTAATCATTCCAGAGGCCTCCCTGGTGGCACAAAGGGTTAAGCACAGCACTGTGAATCAATCTGCAGCCTCTGCAGCATGAGTTTGAGCCCTGCCAGCCAGGGAGCTGACCCACATGGTGCAGCAGACCTCTCCTGTGTTGCCTGCTTCTCCCTCAGCAGTGTATTTCAGTCAGTCTGCCTGTTCTGTTTTCCACTCTGTCTGGTAAATCCTCTCACCCCCCATACCTCAGGCCTGTACCCCAGTTCTTATATTCATAACTAAATAAATCTTTTTTAAAATGTAATCATTCCATTTGTTCTTTTAAATTTAACAAAAAACCCACAAAGACGTTCATTTCTGTTTAGAAGGTAATAATCAGCGTCATTCAATTGGGTTGGTACAATTACATCTTAAAGCAAAGAAATGTAACAGTGTTCCAAGCATCTTTATTTCAGGTAAATACATTTAACTCTGAGGGCTTGGGGAAATATTATAGCATCATTCATGAATCTCCATTGCTGTCTTAGGAAACCCGGGCTGGGGATGAGGGCAGGTTAAAGAGAGATGAAGGTTTCTCACGTCCTGAATCACTGAACACACACATCACCATACTTGTACCTTGTGAGAGACTCAACCACAATATGAGAAGAATCCACCTTTTCAGGCCAAGGGGCTGTAGCATGAATTTAAACCTCAAATTGATACCGTGCTGGGTAACAAGGCAAGGACTGTCACTTCACAGACGGCTGTGCATGTAGGGATTACACCTTAAAACTTTCCATCTGATAATTACCTACCTCTGCAGACTGAGCAAGGATGAGTTCACAACATAAAGGTTTTGCTCCTTCAGAGATGAAACTGTTCCGTTTTCCACTTCCATTCAAATGGATCGCATTTCTTGAAAAAACAAAAACAGGAGTCTGGCCCAATTTTGTTTAAATCACCAGAACAGAGTTGGCTTATCCTCCATTGCTAAGCACCCTTGTGAACTCGCGTTTCTATAAGCTACTCAGGGATACACCAGGAGGGTGGGAGATAGTCACTGTCCTTCCTGCCTGTACAGACTAGCCTCAGGCCACTCTACATAGTTGCAAACAATTAGACCACACTTTTTTTTTTTTTTTAAAGAATTGGAGCCAACAGTTGACAATTAGAAAATTTCACTAAAAGTCTAGATTTCTGCAAAACAATTAGAAGATATGGTCATATGGCCTCCTATAATTCTTGATGCTAAAACAAGCTGGAGCCAAACAGAGTAACTCCTCCGCCTTTATCTGGTTCAATCATGCTCCTTTTCATCTGTCTTTTTCACAGTGCACGAGAGTTCGCCCACAGACATTACTCATTTGTTATCTGTGCAGCTCCCGTGGACTCCTGGACTAGCATATCACATGTATTTAGAAACCAGCAATGATAAATATAAGATGGTGTGTGTCAGTAAAGAGCATTCAAGAGGTATCTCGAGGGGTGAGAAGTTACTATGGGAAACTGGGAAGTGGTTCTCTGGGAGAAATGATTACTTACGAAAATACAGAAGAGAACAGGGCACTTTCAGAGCCCTGCACCTGATCAGCAGGCCAAGGATACAGGACAGGCACATGAGAGGCAGCTGCTGAGGGATCACTCTGTACTTACGTGATAAGTACCTGCTGCAGGTGCTGCAACTCTCCAGCCAGTTTATTTTTATCCTCTCGTAAATTCTGGAATCACGACATTAGGTGATACATGTTACTCTAGAGGGGGATTTATATTGAACAACCCCACCTTGCAAGCTGGATTATGGTATACCTCTATAACTCTTTCATATTCTGTGATGGTTGACTTAAGTTCTTCTATATGTATGTCCTTCTGAAAAGTAGAAAATAGTCAAGCAGTATGAATGCCCAAAATCCTATTTGTCTATGAATCTGAGCCACAGAAATATTATAAATGCCCAAGGATGTTGAGACCTTCCACCAATCTCATTATTTGAAGTCTGAACCAGTCTGTATTTGTGATTAGAACTCCACAAGAAGTGAGAACAGAGAAACAGCTATATCCATGACCAAATATGGACCATCATGCTCTCTATTTGCCTGATCAGTCAAACCCTGCAAAGTCATTTTTAAGTCCAAATTTTATTATCATGAAACATTTTAGGAATAATATCAGTTTTCACCTGCAAATCACCAATGAATGATTATGGAATCCAATTTTATTCAGTCCAAAAGATAATAGTTACAATCATAGTGTACACTGCACCAGTATAGCAGACAGGCAGTGACTGATCTATGATTTTTATCCCATGAGTGGCATGATGCCTACTCAGTCAATACCCCAGTGAAGGCTGGGCAAGTGTGCAAGGGGTGAATGACCAGCAGTAGGGAAGGAAAGAATAGCCACTGTGATCACAGTGACTACAGGGAGAGAGAGAAAACCACAATGAAGAGAGAATTTGATATAATATTCACTGCCCTGGTCAATGGCCCCAACCATGAATGACGCCTCTGAAACTTCGTAAGTGCAGGGAAAGGAAAAGTGTGGAAAACACCACTCTTTCTCTTGGAATGTGGATATGTTAACTGTGCCCCTCTTTGTTTTCCTAAAACCACTAAACTAGCCCCTTGGCAGCCAGCATCCTTTGTTACCAGATAGGTACACTTACAAGATACAATGATAAACAGAACAATGCCTATCAAGCAATCAAACTAGGTAGAAAATAAATGGGGCATAAATTCTTTCCAAAATGGGGTCTCCCCTGGTGGTGCAGCGGTTGAACGCTGGGCTGCAAAGCTGCCTGCAGCCTCTGTAGCCTCTGCAGTGCCGGTTTGATCCCCAGAAGCCAGCAAGTGTCCCACAAGGCACACAGACCTCTCCTGCCATGCCCGCTGCTCCCCTCAGCAGTGTACTTCGGTCCTTCTGCCTCTCTGCTCCCCGCTCTGGCTCTGGTGAATTCTCTCACCCTCCCGCGCTTCTGACTGTACCCAGTGCTTGTATAAATAAATAAATCTTTTTTAAAAAGTAAAAAAAAAATAAATTCTTCCCAAAAATGAATGACTGCACACTAATTCATGTTATCAATTAAAACTGCACTTGAAAATTCTCACATTCATATTTATTGTATAAATAACTAAATGCCACCAGAATTTACAGAGAATATGTTAAAACTTATCCCAGATAGAGAACTCAGTAATCTTCAATCAGAAGAAGTTTTTGTGACATGTGATAAAGCAGTCTTGTGATAGACTATTAGAATCAGCTATTTTAATAGGGTTACACAGATGACCCTCTCTCCTCACGATTTGGAGATAGCCACAGGAGTTCATGGGAAGGGAGAGTACCAACCTTTTGCAAACAAGCATCTTTATGAAGCAAAGTGTTTTCATACATGTGTAACTGCATCTGAAAAGAAACAAATTTAGGTTGGAAAAGTCAGGGACACATCACATTGATAAAAATGGCAGTACCATAAAATCATTCGAGGAGAGAGTTTTCTGATTTCCCTTTGATGTTCATGTATTCATCACTTTATAAAGATCTTTGACATCCAGCCTCACAACAACCCTGGAGGCAGAGGTCAGAGCCCTTACTCTACCAGGAGGAAATCAAACCTCAGCACTTTGGACTCAGAGACTCACCCAAAATCACACACAGTGAGTGACAGAGCTGAGCTCAGAATCTCCAGAGTCGATAGCTCTAGCCACATGCTCTTTCTGCCTTTACACACATCACATATATGGAACAGATAGTTTCCACCTTTGGGTGAAAATCAAAATTTAGATAAAAACTGTTCCCAGTTTTTAAATGTTCATGATTTCTTTGGCAAAAGAAAATTCAATTTATTCCAACCAAAATCAAGTTTGTTGGAGAGGCTTCTAAACAGAATTGATAAATATATATATATATATATATATATATATATATAGATTGAATTGAAAACCTAGAAAAATAATCAGCATAGTCATAAGTAACATCATCATAAGCATACATATATACATTTATCTGATATCCCTCTTTTAGTTCTAATGTATCTTCACAAAATCATCTTATTTGACTTTCAAACAAGCTCATGGTAGACAGTACCAGACCCATTTAGATGATGAGAAAATTGGGAAAATTAAAGAGGTTAGCTGCTTGCTTGCGGCTATAAAGCTTTTGAGTAGAGAGACGTTATATGAGCCCTTGTCTTCTGGCTCTTTCCACTATCTGACAGTTGTGTTTCCCAAAGAGTCATTCCTAGAATAAAATTAATTTTAATGCCTAAATTATAAGTGCTTTATATATGCATATACATGTACACATGTAGATTTGGGGTGTCTGCTAGGAAACTTGAAAACTCTATATATAGACATGAAATTTAAATATATCATTTCAAACATATGCTACAACTATAAATATTGTTCAAAAAATACCTCCAGAAGCAGGCATAACACAAATTCCTGAATTAACAATTACTTTCTGTTTCCTGATAAGAACATGCGACAAAAAATATATATTATAGATGCAATTTAGATAAAAATCATTTTTATAGGGTATCAATCCTTAATTGAATGAAGGAAAGATTGCCCCCCCCAAACACATACCTTTCCTCACTTTCTTTACCTAGGAAATAGAATTAAGTGAGAAATTGGCACAGAATAAAAAATGAAAAGGACAATGTGTGTCCACAAGGATGTGGAGAAATTGGAATCTTCATACATTGCTGGTGGGAACATATAAAATGGTGGAGCCATTAGGAAAACTATCTGGCAGTGCATCAAAATATTAAACCAGAGTTATCAAGTGACCTGATAATTCCCTCCTTGGGATATGCCCAAAAGAAATCCAAATATGTCTACACGAAAACTTGTATGCAAACGTCCACAGCAGCAATATTCAGAATAATCAAAAAAGTAGAAGCAGCCCAAATGCCCATCAGCTGATGAATGGACAGACATAATGCCACCTATACCCTTACATGGAATATTATCCAGCAATCAAAGGAAATGAAATATTGATACATCCATGATATGGACAAACCTTGCAAACATTGTATGCAGTAACAGCTAGTCATAAAAGGCCAGATAATATATGTGATTCCATTATATATGATATGATTAAATGGAAAGAGACAAAAAGATTGGTTGTTTAGGGCTTGGCAGGACGGAAGTGAATGCTAAAGGATTTCTTTTGGGCTTATAAAAATGTTTTAAAATTAATTGTGGTTATGGTTGCACAAATCCAAATATACTAGAAACCACTGACTTGTGTACTTTAAGTAGGTGAATTTAATGGTGCTATATTATTTATCAGTAAAGCTATCATGCTAAAAAAAAATACAAGTTGCTGTTTATAATTCAGATATCTTGAGGAGTACAAATTCCAAAATTTATAATCAAAAGTTTTCATATGTGTGTCTGAATCACATGCACCTTCATAGATAGAGTAATATTGTTTCAACAGAAAAAAATACTTTTACCAGTATTTGTGAAGTGCTTACTTGATGCTCTCTCTCAGTTGCACATAATTCTTCAATCTTCTTTTCTAATGTATGTATCTCCATCATGTTCATAGTATTCTAAAGTCAAAGAAGATGATATTCTTTGATTTATTTTATTATTTATTTAAAGATTTATTTTTATTTATTTATGCATACACAAACTGGGGTATTTATTTATGCATACAAGAAACCAGAGGTGCAGAGGGTGAGAGGATTCACCAGAGACAGAGTGGGGAACCAAGCAGGCAAATCTACTTAGCTACACTGCTGAAGGGAGCAGTGAGTGAGACAGGCGAGGTCTGCTGCACCATATGTGGGTTAGCTCCCTGGCTGGGGATGGAACTCATGCCCTGGTGGCTGGTGGTACTTGATAGCACTGAGACTTTAACCCCTGCACCACCAGGGAGGCCCTGGTATTCTTAGATTTAGATTGAAAAATGAAAGAACATCATGAAATTGTTTTTAGGAAATGGAATTTTCCTTAACATTGTAATCTATTTTAAAGTAAGGGACATAATTTAGGCTTTGTCCAAAAACAACATTATCCTTCTAACAAAACCATCCAGAATAATCTCAGTAGTTCCTTTTTATCTTCCATTCCACTTAGGCCATTCACTTCCATAGTTATAGCTTCAAGCTTGCCATTACCAGTCACGGAGACTCCTCCATTGTATCAATAACAAGCATCTCACTCTTCAACTACACTTCTTGTCCTTCCAGATACTTCTTGGAGCACCAATAAGTCTTCATCCCCCACCAGAGTCCCCCACCCACTGATCCACACTCTCATTATCCTTATACCTTCCTGTGAACTCAATTCCCTCTTTACTCAGCTTAAATTTCTCCATGGCCAATCATCATAATCTTTCTCATGCACATCTCCCCAATTCCTTGGCCTCTCCCCTACTTCTCTTTAGTCATTGCTTGAACTCAGCTGGCTACCCACTCTGTGCCAGCACTCTTTCAGACAAACATGGTTAAAGAAGTATACAAAGAACTAACAGGCCCCATGTTGAATGCATAACCATGATCTAATGTTCACTGGTGATCATATCATATACCCCTAATCCATTCACATGAGCATTTGCCTACGGATTTGCAAGACTATACCCACTTCCCCAGTCTCATTGGCCAACTCTAGCTAACCACCTGGTTTTGTAAATGAACTCACCAGAACACAGCTATCCATTTGTTTGCATATTGTCTATGGCCTTTTCACATTACAATAGCAGGAGTCAGTGGTTTTGACTAAGGGTGTCTTAGCCATGCCTAAATATACTATCTGGTCCTTCACAAAAAAAGCTTGTCAACACCTGTCTGTTTCACCCTCTACTCTCCACAAACTTCCATTATTTCCTCCAACATATCCTCAGTATCTGCAGATGACTTTGTATTTCACTGAGATCTTAGACACAGAAGGGAACGTTGATACACCTGAGTACGTAATAAACACTTTGCATATGCACAAAGCATATGCTGATCTGAACCCTTCTCTCCAGCTCTCTTCTTATCGCCCAAGTCCAGGCCCCCATGGATAATGAGAAGGCCCGATCCCTGCTTCTTTCCGTGCCTCAACTGCAGTAGAATCTAAACCCATCAGCAGTCAGGGTTATCCTGTTGAAACAGCAATCAGATCATGTTAGTACCTTGCTCAAAATTGTCCCACAGTTTCCATTTTCGCAGTACAAACAACTGGGCCCCTGTAAGGCCTATAGCAAATCCTGAGGGCCTGGTTCCCTGCAACTCTGGGCTGTGCCTCTTGCTCTTTGTTTACACTGCTCTAGCCACCCTGGCCTCAAAAATGGCAGACTGCAGCCTGAGGCCTAAGCTTGCTCTCTCCTCTCCCTGGAACGCTCTTCCACAGATAAGCCTCTGGTGAAGTTCTTAAACAAAAGATTAAATTCATAGTGCTGCCTTTCTTAACCACCCTGGTTTAAATCACTCCCCCTCCCTCCCACTCCATTGCCTGCCTTGCTTTTCTGCCTAAGCACTAATGGCCACCTATCAGGCTAGTTCCATGTGGCTATTTGGCTTAAGCTTGTGTCCCTAGCACCTACACTACTTCCTAGCACACACTGGTCTCACAACAGGTGAGTGTTAAGTGAATGAATGAATGAGCAAATGAATGAATGAAAGTGAAAAACATAGTAACAAACAACTGTGCTGTTATTCTTCATTGACAATGTATCAGCTTTGTACCTGAAAAGAATACCAACCAGGGGTGACACTGAAATGCTCATTATAATGTATATCAAAAATTACAATGCAATCTCAATTCTAAATTGTCTTGTTATAAATTTGTGGTGCTAGTCAATCATCCTAAATATGAGGGGAAAATGATCTTCCATTGGAATTTAAAATGTAATGCACAAGTTTTACAAAAGCCTGAAAGAAGCAAGGCTTCTTTCTAATTTATATTTGTTCTTTTCCAACCCTCTATGAATTAACATTCACTTGACCCATATGTTGGATAGCTCTCTAGACTGCTCACCACAGCTTAATAAATACGTCTAATTAGCATAAGTAAAGCCAAAATTAAAAACCTTTACATAACATTTCACATTCAAAAAGTACCTATAGAATTTCCCTCCAAAGAAGGAGCTTACCAGTAGCTTTGGTAAAGCACCATTGCTTTAATTTTGTTGCTTAAAAATACACATATATTGCATAGCATTCTTTAGATTATACTAATGTTTCCTAACATCTATGAAGCACATGATGGTCAACCAAATGGATGCATTTGCACATGCATTATCTTAGTGTGCAAAATAACTAGAGAATAGACCTTACCCCGAAAACATAAATGGCTTTTTAAGGTCAAGCTTTGAGTAAATTTAAGATTCAGGTCTCAGACTCAAGATTTTTACCACCTAAGTTAGTGGAATAATAATAATAATAATAATAATAATAATAATAAAAATTATTAAATAATGTCCAGGCTTTCCTTCTTGATTTTGATGGAGGAAAGAATAGAAAACCTAAAGGAGGCATCACAAGACCAAAACCTGACTCACACAAGGAGGTGGGCATAGAAAGGATTAGCCATTAACCATTAACCTAGCCACAGAAATCAAGATCCTTAGGCACCAGTCAGTGTCTTATCACAAGGCATAAGGCCCAAGCAGATATCAGACCTGTATGGGAGTATCCAAAGCACAGATCTGAGGGTAAACATAGATATTGGGCCCATCCTGGAATCTCAGTTCCCTATCCTGGAATCTGCAGTCCAGATTCTCATTGTTATCCAAAATCAGCAACAGGCCACTCCACAAAGGAGTGAGCCCCTCCCAAAGAGAAAAAGATTGTATCAGTGCAGTCTCTGCACCAGCACAGGGCAGCACTCCCAATGCCCACCTGTGACTATGCAGGTGCTTCTTTTCACCAACTCTTTCCCTCTGCAGGGCAGCAGCTTTCTGCCTGCCCGTGACCTGTACCATGCCAGGACTCTCTCCACTGACCTCCCTCAGCAGAGGCAGCTCTCCTCAAGGCTGTCCTCCTGCAACTATGCAGGCCTCTCTCAGCAAACCTGTTCCCCTTGGGGCAGCTCTTTCTGCCTGCTTGTGTCTCTGCAAGTGTCCTTCCTTCTCTGTCGCCTTTTCTTAACAAACCTGCTCTTTAAATGTAACTAACATCTCTGTCACGGAGAAACTCACCCCATGCGCTGAAAGGGAAACTCTGGTGAAACCTTTCCCAGGGTGAACCCAAGGACCCTGCACTCCAAACTCAAAAAACCACATCAATTTGTGTACTTTTTAGATGAGTTAGTTTCATAGCCTCTTCTGTTTGAATTTCTTAGATTTCATTTATTCCTCAAATGTTCAGACATAAAATCATTCCAGTGTTCCTAACTTGAATTTAACAATACTGATCCTTGGCTGACAGTGTAACAGGGTGGTCCCCAGGAAAGGGGGAGGTTCCCTGCCCCACCCAAGGGAGGGTGGAGCTGAGTAGGAAGGGAAGAAACTGTAGAAGAGACTGAGGAAGGAAGCAGGATGGAGATCCAGAAGGAGACCTGGAGGAGGCGCGTGGAGCCTAGAGACACATAAAGAAATTGAGCTTGTCTTTTGGTCGTGGACTGGGTGACACAGATGTGGGTGAGACCCATGGGGAGGTGACAATGGCAGCTTTTATCTTGATGTTGATTTTGCTCTTTTCCTTCCGGGCTTGTCTGGTTGTTTCTGACCCCTTTCTGTGGGCCCCCACTAAAAGATGCTTTGGACTTGTGGCAGGCTTTGGGGCTTTGCTCTGGGCCATTCCCATATGGATGGACTTTTACCCACGAGGGGACGGGTAACTTTGGGTGCTTCATTTAGAAACTAGACTCTTTGCCTTTCCGGTATTGTTTCCTAGTTTTATTAACGTTCCTTCCCATTAAAAAAAAAAAAACATTAAAATAAAAACTGCCATTGTCACCTCCCCATGGGTCTCACCCACATCTGTGTCACCCAGTCCACAACCAAAAGACAGGCTCAGTTTCTTTATGTGTCTCTAGGCTCCATGTGCCTCCTCCAGGTCTCCTGGCTCCATCCTGCTTCCTTCCTCCGTCTCTTCTGCAGTTTCTTCTCTTCCTGCTCAGCTCCACCCTCCCTTGGGTGGGGCAGGGAACCTCCCCCTTTCCTGGGGACCACCCTGTTACAACAGGAGCCTGACTATTCCCATGATTTCTATTTAACCCAAAATCACAGATCACGATTGTAGAGTTGCAGTATGTCTGCCTATGCCAGTGTTTAATGATTTCAACATACCTCCTCTTGGAGATTCCGAATCTTATGAATCAGAGCCCGGTTCTCTGCCTCCTAATATATTAAGAGAAAAAGTAATTTAAAAGCATTTGATAAGGTTCTGAAAAGACCACACACTTGCCTCAAAGCTATTGACATTCTCCCACTTTATCAACTTAAGTGTGGCACACAGATGTATTGTAACAGGGTGGTCCCCAGGAAAAGGGGAGGTTCCAGGTTCCCTGCCCCACTCAAAGGAGGGTGGAGCTGAGCAGGGAGGAGAAGAAGCTGGAGAGGAGCCTGGGGAAGGAAGGAAGCAGGATGGAGAGCCAGAAGGAGACCTGCAGGAGGCCCACGGAGCAGAGAGACATGTGAAGAAGCTGCACTTGCTTCTTGGTCTTGCACTGGTTGAAACAGATGTGGGTGAGAGACCTGTGGGGAGGTTAAATGGCAGCTTTTATCTTGGTTTTGATTTTACTCTTTTCCTCCCAGACTTCTCTGTTTCTGGCTCTTTTCTAGGTCCCAGCCAGAAGGCGCTTTAGACATGTGGCAGCTTTCAGGCCTTGCGTTAGGCCAATCCTGTTTGGTTGGACTTTTACCCATGAGGGGATGGGTAACTTTGGATGCTTGATTTGGAAACTATATTCTTTGTCTTTTCTGTATTGCACACTAATTGTAGTAAAGCTCTTTTTCATTAAAGGTTTATATGTTTTGTCTTGATGCAGTGGATTGGCAGAACATATTTAGAGCAGGTAGGTTTGGGGGTTTGGGGATACCCCTCTCCCTGCCCTGCAACAGTATCACACAAATCTTATTTGAACACATTCTTACTATGGGGTTAAGGCTTGGCTTCCAGTTTCTTGGGATCTGTGAGAAGTCACTTTTCTCCTTAACTCAGCCTACTACAGAAGGAAAGATGAGAAAACAAAAAAGGGACAAACCTGGCTTCTTCCATCCACACATGACAGGTAGTGTGCACTCATTGAAATCATAGAGATTCAGCTTTCTGTTTAAAACTGTGACAGAGATGGCCAAGAGGCACATGAAAAAAAGCTTGTCATCACTTATCAGGGAAATGCAAATCAAAGCTACAGTGAGATTTCACCTCACACCTGTTAGAATGATCCACATCAAAATGACCAGAAACAACAAGTGTTGGGGAGGATGTGGAGGAAAAAGAACACTTGTACACTCCTGGTGGGAATGTAGACTGCTCCTGGGCCTATGGAAAACTGTTTCTAAAAGTATTAAAAATGGATCTATCATATGACCCACAAATTCCACTCCTAGGTATCTACCTAAAGAATACAAATTTACTATTTCGAAGATATATATTTACTCCTATCATACAGAACTGTTTACAATAGCTAAGTTATAGAAATAGATAATCTAAGTGTTAAAAGCAGATAAGTGGATTAGGAAAATATAGTAAACTTGTGGGTAAAATAGGGTAAGAATCTGGGGGTATTTAATTTTTCTTTGTTATTACACATTTCCATATTTTTATATTTTTATAAAAAGGTTTCCCATATTTTTATAAAGTAAAAAGTTATTATTTTTATAATATAAAAATAAAAAACATCTCAGGTTAGGATTTCATTAGTACAAGAACACACACAGAAGACAGTGTGTTTCAATTCTAGTGCTCATTTATTTAACAATTGACTTTGAATCCTCAAACTATCTCATTAGTTTTATTAAATGAATGACAGCAACTTCTGCTTCTTCCTCCCTCACAGAATTTCCATGATAACCAGCAAGAGATTAAAAATCCTTTGACATTGTAAAACACTATAAAAATGCAAAGGATTAGGATTATCTAGCTGTACCATGAACAATAGCAGCTAGCAATATGGATTCCTGGGGGTAATGAGTACAATGACTGCTTTATAAGTATGGCTTCAGACACCCCTCAAGCCAGCCCAAGGCCATGCTATCATCATCCCCATTTTACAAATGAGAACAAACAAGGTTTACAGAGGTCCTCTAAGGTTACAAAACCCTTGGTTCCTCTAAGATGACACAGCCTCGGTGTCAGGACTTGAATACAGGCAGTCAATTCCCTAAGGGTGGCCTCTTGACCTTTTCTCCACCTTGCCCCAGTGAGAAGTTCCTCAGGGGTCCAACTGAGTCCTGTAATGCATTCATAGGAAAGCACATGGTCCCCATATTTTCCCAGTGAGCTAAGAGCTGAGCTGCACTGGCTATGGCAGATCAAGAATGAATTAGGGACACTGTGTGGTCCAAGTGTCTGGATGACTTACAGACTCTGCAAACAGCTTTCCAACTGATACCTGAAAACAAATCCATCCAAAGGACCTTCAGCCACCCCCACCATCATCAACAATGCTACAGTACTGCTAGGACATCAGCATCTTGCATACCATTACCAGTGCCATAGGGAACAGTTTAACATGGTCAGTATAAACAGTTACTTCTTTGGCACTTGAGTTAGAGCTGAAGCTAGATAATATTTTGCTCTAAAATTATAAGTTTGCTTTGATTTACTATAAGGACTAGCTCATGGAGTTTCTCAGATATGTAAGTACTAAAAAGACTGATTTTTTTTCTTTTGATCTTAGAAAAAGATTAGGGAAAAAAATTTGTAATTCAAGTGTTTTTCAGCATCAGGCATTTAGGAATCAGCCTATCACCTTCAGGAGGCATTCCAGAGATTTTCTGGATCTCCACAAACCCTTTGGTATATGGCTGAGCGACGTGGAAAGAATTTTAATCTTTGGTTGAAGAGGAAAGACTACCTGCCTTTAATTTTCCAAGGGGTTACCAATTTATTTGCCAGCACACTGACTGCTGGCTGTTATCCTCAGCAAACCCTCCTATATTTTAGATACATGAACCATATGCCCACTGCAAAGTTCTCAGATAACTTACTAATTGCTTGTTCTGGGCCACAGTCATGGTCTTCTGCTCTTCTAAAGCATCCATACTAGTTTTCAGTTCCTCCAGCTCTTCTTTTAACAGATTTGTTCTCAAAATAGCCTGGTGGGCACTGCGGGGGTGGGGGGAAGGCAATGAGCAAAACCTCAAATATAACCGTCAAAGAGTAAAGCCAAGGGCTATTTTGGAGCCCAAGTCGAAAACCACTGAAGGTTTCAACCAGATGCCAAAATAGTAAAAATATATTCATGATCTTTCACAGTCTTTGAAAAGGAAGGAATATGGTGGGAAAAGGAACATTTATCCTGAAGATAAAGATTTGTGAGCTCCCTTTGAAAGCCATCATTGGCTGAACTACATGATTCTTTCCTCCTAATGGGATGCACTATTAGTTCATGCAATTCCACCAGGGTTTACCGAATGGCAGTCCAGATGCTGGGTCTTACAGGAGGGCCTGTGATGGTGAGCAAGAGACACGGTCCTTCCCTTAGGGAAGTTACATACAAGTGAGGTGCTGACAACTAAAGTATTGACTTCATAGACTGTGTGTGATATAACTCATGAAAGTATTCACTGTAGCACTTTTTGTAATAACAAAGCATTGGAAATAACCCAAATGCCCATCAAGAAACAATGAGTGAACTGTAGTCATCCGCAGCATAGGATAACCTGCGCATATATCCCACCAGAATGAAACTGTTTTCTAGACAGAGCCTCAAAGAAAGTATGTTCTTTTTCTTTACTAATATTTATCGAGCTCCGATCCTGTGTCAGGAATGGAAGACAATGAAAGTGAAGCTAATCTTGACAGGTCTTGCTCCTGCGGCTTATGGTCTAATAGGGTGAACAATCATAATGATACCATGGTGGGGATAAGAACCACAGTGAGACTGAACCTAAGTTCTGTGACACTGTGTAAAAGATGAGTAACTCAGATAATGGGGGAGAGGGAGAGAGCAAAAGGAGAGGTACAGAGAAGAGAGACAAACAGCGCGAGATAGAAAGAGTGAGAGAGAGAGAGAGAGAGAGAGAGAGAGAGAGAGAGAGAGAGAGAAAGAGAATAGGAATGAAGAGTCACTGAGAGCTCAAGTGCTTAGAAACTGGTAAGAGTCTGCAGTGGGAAGAAGACTGGAGACAGCAGAGGCGCCATCACACGTGGCTTCACAACCAGGTGAATATCTACAAGGAGGGTTTCATCAGAAGGTGCAGAGGTGGGATGTGGTGAAAGCATTGGGAAGAGCATACCTACCAGTGTGCAGCGAGTCTGGGAAAAGGCAGAGAGGACAATCAGGAGGCTGCTGGGGTGAACCAGGGAAGGGGGATGCTGACTTGAACTAAGAGGCAGACACAGGGTTGGAAGAAGTGAGTAAAGGAGGTGAGTGGAGCAGGCCTGGCTATCTGATTAGAATGAAGGCTGAACCAGGTAAAGGAGATGAGGACTTCAGGCCACAGGCAGCTGTAAGGACAGAGCATCCGATGCTACACATTCTCCCCAGGCAGTAGGGTGGCAAGGGGGAGTGAGAAGGGAAAACATTTATCTACACAAAATCCTGCACATAAATGTCCACAGCAACACTCTTATTGATCCCCCAAATAGAAATAATCCACATGTCCATTTTCTGAGGAATGGATACACAAATGTGGTCTATCTGTGTAAGAGTATTATTCAGCCATAAAAAGGAACGAAGTGGTGACATACGTCATACCACAGATGAGCCTTGAAAACAGTGCTATGTGAATAAAGCCAGACACAAAGGCCACACAGGACATGATGCCATGTTTATGAAATGTCCCGAAGAAGGAAATCCATAATGACAGAAGTTAGACTAGTGGTTACCAGGGGTTGGGGGAGGGGAAATAGGAAATGACAGCTAATGAGGCTTGTTTCTGGAATGATGCAAATGTTCTGGAATTAGATCATGGTTATGATTGCACAACCTTATACTATACTAAAAAAAATTGTGTACTTGAGAAGGGTGAATGCTATGCTATGTGAATTATATCTCAATAAAAATGGAGATTTTAAAAAGGACAAAGAACTGAACAAGCTTCCCAGCACACAGGACAAGTTTTTCTTGGTATTTGTTCCCATTTAGATTGAAATATTCCCATTTAGATTGATTTGGTATGTTATTATTTGAGGACTGGGGAATAAAAAAATACCAACAAATCATACCAAATAGGAAATGTTCTGTTTTCAGATCACGGGGGAAGCCTGTGTTCTCCTATGGCTCACCTTTTTACCTGAAGACACAGTTCAGTGCGGTCCTCTGATAACTGGCTGTTAGCTTCTTCCAAGGTTTCTAATGCCAATTTAAACTTAATGATTTCCTCCTCCAATTTCTGCTTATTGAAATGCAGTTCTGCTATATGGGTAATCAAATCAGTCTCCTTTCTGCAGGTAAAAGAATAAATGAGAATCATCTTCAACATTTGTAGTGCCTTCCAGTCAATCAGGAATATGGTTAAGTCTAAACAGGCTTACATACTCATGTTAACATCCCAAACTCAGTTTGCAGAAAAGAGCTTTTTTCCTGCACATCTACTTTGCACTAGAGTGGATGGACTGAAAAGGTATTATGCTAAGTGGAGTATATCAGAAGCAGAAAGAGAAATACCATGATTTCACTTTTATGTGATGCATAAACAAACAAAACTAATGAAGGAGTTATATGCAACAAAAATAATTTTTTACAGAGGCCAAATTCATGGTTACTAGAAGGGAATGCATAAGGGGAGTGGGTGAATCAGGTATAAGCCATCAACTGTTTGGTGAAGGATAGAATTGGAGTTGCAGTGATGGACATAATGTACTACACACAGATGGTGATTTGCAAGGATGCACACCTGAAACATACATAATGTTATAAATCATTGTTACTTCAATAAAAATTGGGAACAAAAGATGAAAAATACATATATATGGGCGAGAAAGTGTCTTCCTTAGAGCTGGTTCTCCTTTTGAACCTACAGATCCTGAGGAACTCTCTATGGCTTGTGTGAGGCCCTGGAGATTTGCTTGCAGACCACAAAAAATATGTAAATATAAAAGGGTTGCACTGTGTGGTGAAAGAAATAGACTTTTAGAAGTAAGCATCATGTGGTATCCACAAGTGCTAATTTACAACAATGCACACCTGAAAACTATATCAAAAAAAAAAAAAATTAAACCCTGAACTCCCAATCTCCAAAATGAAATAAAATAAAGTTTTGAAAAAGTAATCCCCTGACAAGCTTAAGGTCAATGCCTTAACTCTACTTCAAATGGAACTTGTCTTTCATGAAAAATACATGAACTCAATGAAGAACAATTTTATGAGGGCAAAAACAATTTATATATTACTAATGTTATATAATTTGTGTTTTTAGTGAAATTTGTCCTGAGGCAATTTGGAATAAAAAGAGGGTTATAAATAAACTGTTAGTTTTACCAAGAAAAGTTAAATGACTTTATCATAAGTGAAATATGTATATCTGTGATATAAAAATCAATCATAAAAGCTGAGATACTTGCAAAAGCATTAGAAGAACACTTACAAGATTCCTTTCGACACGTCGCCATCCAAAGCCTCCAAATACCCTGGTGTAGAATATGTTGTATCTGTGGTCATCATAACTGAAATATATACAAGAGCTTTATTTAAAAAAAATTCAGTTCTGGGCCTCCCCTGGTGGCGCAGCAGTTGAGCACTGGGTTGCAAGGCTGCCCGCAGCCTCTGCAGCGCCAGTTCGATCCTCAGCCACCAGCGAGGGGCCCACCAAAAAAAAAAAAAAAAAAAAAAAATTCAGTTCTACAAACCACAAAGAGTAGCAAAACAATCTTAAAGAACATACATACTTGCTCTGCCTGATTTTCTGCCGTCCTGTTCAAAATCAGAATCCTGGATGCTGCCACTTGGCCCACTGCTCACTCCTTCCCTGCAAGCCAAAGACAGTCCTCAGGAGGTAGGAGTCTTTGCATACCAAAGCTAAGTTTTCAGATAGGCTCTCTACTTTACCATTCAGGTTTTTCTTTCTGACTTAAAAAAGTCTATTCATTCAACAAGTAACTGGAGCCTAACACTGGGCTCAGAGATGTGGGGTGACAGAAAGGTAAGGAATCACTTCCACCTTGCATGGGCTATTAACCTACGATGAAAAAGAAATGTGTGCAGAAACAGCGAAGTAGTGACCACAGCAGTGGTCAGGAGACAAGAGACTGGGGTGGATTACGAAGGCCACACAAATTGGGATGACCCATGGCCTCTTGGGGAAAGAACAAGACCACAGTCTAAAGATTTGGAAGGAAGAGGCCTCATCTACCACTACTTTAGGAAGATGGATGGTGTCAGTATTTTCCCTTTCTCCTAGAAAGCCAACTTGGTCTTAAAACCTTGAGCATTATGCTCCTGAAATTTAGGGAATCCTCTGTATTAGCCTCTGTCCCAAATACAAATTCAAACTTTAATTCTAAAATAAATACATTAAAATGTCAGCCCTTTGTTTTCTAAGAATCTCTATTCCATGATTTAAGTTTTGTTACTTAAATCTTTATAAATGCCAAATCCTTGGTTTATCCCTCTGGAGCAGCCACAAAATCCTCATATAGGTTCTCCTGGTGCTACCAGGTGAGAGATCGGTCAGAAAGTCGCCGAGCAGAATGATTCTTATTATGTCTAGTGACACACCCATCCCCATCCCTGAGTTCTTGTATTTTGCATTTATGCCTCTCTTGCTTTTTCTTTTCCTTTACATGGTATAAAAATTAAGACTTTGGTCTTTGCCCTCACTCCATTTTATAAAGGGATTATTGGTACTTTGATTACAAAACCAGGTTTTAAATATTTTAGAGAACAAATTTTACTAAGACTGAACAAAAAGGCCATTATGCAGAAATAATCATTTTGGAATATGTCCTTCCCATATTTTTTCTACATGTATTTTTATTTTTTTGGCAAATGTGGCATTATATAGGGATGAAAGGCCTATTCTTTGAAATACCTTTGGGTATTCTCTTGTCAAATATTTTCTGATTATAATTTTAAGTGACTAGCATTATAGTATATGGAAATATAATTTATCTGTCTAACTGTCTATTTAAAAAAATTGGTTTATATTTACCACTATCATAAATAACATTCTCTTCCTATAGCGTAGCATAAAATTATTTTTCTTGAAGTTTCATTACTCACTCAAACTCGTATATTTTGAAGCATCAGATACGCATTCCTAACTTGAAAAAGCAACATCAACTTACACTACCACTGACTGTGCTACATTCACCAAAATCAAAGTCTCCATAAAGAGTTTATTACATAATTAAGGTGAAGCTTCTTACCCAGGATAAAGTCCGACAGAGTTTACTCTGTGAGAACTATTCCAACAATCCCAAATCTGAGTTTGGTTATACAGATAGAAGAGTCATTTTTTTTTTTGGGGGGGGGATGCCTGCTTCTGGTTTTTAATCAATAAACTTAGATGTTTTGCTTTCCTAAATTATCTTGACATAAAGATACATCGATGCTACCTCTGTACAGAGGAAGGCAATGCTGGGGTTTAATAGGTACCCTTATTTTTAAAGAATACATTGGAGGTGTGATGGCTGTGTGCCTGTTGTTAAAATGTTGCCTCTGTTAGGTTTCTTGGCTATCAGTGTGGGTTCAAAGAATCATTTACTCTCAAGTAGCAGATTTCTGCATAGACTGCAAGGTGGAGTCTGTCATGACTTGAAGTCCATGAATATGGTTTTGCTCTAGTCCCTGCTCTAGATGGGGGGGGGGGGGCCCAGTTTGCAGGATGTACACAATGGCATACACTATTTCAGTTATATTTTTTGAAATTATCTAAACCTCCTATTTTAAGTGAAATTTAGCCACTTTTGCTACCCTCTGGGTTTGAAGTTTTCCTTAAGCAAACATTAAGTATCCATCACAGGAGTCAGTCTTCCTAGAAGGGAAGATAATTCCCCTCCGGTATCCACAAGTGGCAAGTGAGATGACAGGTGCCATTCTTCTTCACTTTTCTCTATCGCATTATTTTTCCTGTTACCCTAACCTCCTTACATTCCAGGCTTCCAAATTACATTCACTACCTAAATATCCTCGCTGACCTTAAGAAGGGGGTTTAAATGCATTGGATGTCTGGTGGTCAATATCAACAATTTATAGGACTCCTGTGCCAGTTTAATTCTTTATGAGAACCTAATCCTTGTGGTCCCTAATCACAATTAATTACTTTTTTTGGTAGGAGAACTAGGGTATAGGCCAGAAGTGTGTGTGGGGTAGGGGGGGCAGGTGAGAGGATTCACCAGAGAGAGAGTGGGGAGCAGAACAGGCTGATCTACTGAGACACACTGCTATGGGGAGCAGTGGGTGAGGCAGAAGAAGTTAGCTCCCTGGCCAGGAATGGAACTTAGCCTGTCAAGGTGATAGCACTGAGGCTTAACCTTTAGGACACCAGGGAGGACCCACAATGAATGACAGATCAACAAAGTTCTCAAGTACACCCATCACCACCACCTCCATCATCACCAGCAGTGTCACCTGGAAATTTATTTCACCCCAGACCACCTGAACCACGGTGGTGGGAGCCCAACATTAGCTGTAACATTCCCCCCAAGCAATCCTGATGCGTGCTGAAGTGTGAGAATCACTGCACAGCATTTCCATCAACACAAAGATGGGGGTTCACATTCATTGCAGTCAATTGTTAAAACAACCTGAAAAGGCACCTGCTGGGACAGTGCTTACCATATCTTCCTATAGGATGTCACCCATTCTTTCATCGTGTCCTGGAAGGTTTCCAGATCCACCTGAGGGTCTCTCTTGTCAGCATCTAGCATGTTCCACAGCTCAAAGCCACCACCTTCAGAATCTTGACTAAATGTTTGTTTCAGGTAATCTATTAAGTGATTAGCTTCTATTGAGCCTTAGGAAGAAGAAAGGAAAATTTGGAGAGATGGGGAAAGGCCTTTTTCCTCTTTTATTAATTTTTTTACATTGTTGTTAATATTTTTACAGTATTCAATTTTTCCCCTCAGGTGTAGTCCCCATAAATATCCTACTACCACATCACCTAGGAACCATCACTGTGGTCCCTTGTGCTCTTTCTGCTGCTTTAGGTTCTGGAAATCTGCTGTGTAGACCTTGCAGTCCCATTGAGCTGATGTGGCAGATGGTAGTAGTACCAGATTGGGCTGGAGGCTATAGGAACTAGTGTCAAATTCTTACTCTGAAATGTAAGCTGTGTGGCTTTGGGAAAACTAGTTGATCTCTTTGATGCTTAGTTTCCTTATCTGTGAGATAGAGTTCTGACACCTATTATATGGGGTTGTCAGGCTTCAATATAGATTATACATGTAATCAATAATTACTTAAGGGAAGTGATCAAAAAATGCCATTTTATTTTCTTTCCTTAAAAACAGCATTTCATGAACGAAGTTTCTGTGGTGAAACTGTTTATGATAAAGTACCCCATTAACCAATGAAGATAGACTGGCTAATTACTATAGCCCAAGAAAGTAGTGTACACAAAAAAATTTGTCAATACTGTGAGACCAGTACTGTTGAGTCGAACAGACTCCTTGTCCTGTCCTGATAGGCTGAGATGTGTAAGTGAACAACAGCCAGCCTGACTCAGCAATACAGTGACAATGAAAAACAAAACACCATTTGCTGATTTCTTCAACAGGCCAAAGCTGGAGCTTTCTGAAGACCCTTGTAAGTCAATCATGTAAAGATGAATGCACTTAAAACAAATCGAAAAAGCTTTACAGCAAATGACTAAGTGAGGGCCACTTTGCCCTGCCCTGACCCTGATGCACATACCTTGGGACTGAATTTTGGTTATGATTGCCATTCTCAAATAAATGCTCCTTTGATTATATTAGTCTCATCATTTCTAAGTTGACAACACAGACAAGTTCTGAAAATTATTAAGTGACAAAAAAAAATTTAAGACAATCCTCAGGCATACTCAGAAAACATGTTGTATATAACTGTAGGGTAAAGAAAAGGTCAGGCTTTTCTGCCCTCCCGCCATCAGGATAGATGATGTATCCTTGTCCTGAATGCATGCCTGATGGCGGGCACCTGGAGTAGGGTGTGGGCAGATGTAGATAGGATTCACCTGGGCTAAGACTGTGCTTTTAAGGGCGATGTCACGGGGAAGCCAGCAGAAGCTGAGAAAGAAGCTGAGGAGAAGCCGAGAGAGAAGCAGAGAATGCCAGAGAGCCCGGATAGAGTGAAGACTTGCTGGGGGCTGGGAGGCCTGCCAGCCTCCCGGCCCCCCAGCACCCCTGCCTGCCATATGCCTGTTGAACCCAAATAAAAGACCTGCATAAAACCACTGAGGACTCTGATTCCTCCTTCACCTGGTCTGCATGGGATCCTAGAAAACCTGCACTGTGTCCATTCCTGCCCCTTACAATAACTTAAGAAAAAAAGGTGACCAAAAAAAAAATAAATAAAATTCAACCAGCCATTCAACAATATTATGATAGTGGGATGGACAGATTGATGACCCCCACCTCCTGGGGTTTATACCCTGGTCTCTTCCTTCAAGTGTGAGCATGGTCTGTGGCTTGCATCTACCTAGCAGCATATGGCAAGGGTGATGTGGATTTACATGTATGTACTCGTGTGTTTAAGTTACTTAAGATCATGATGCCTGTCTTGCTGGAGTTCCTCACTCCTGGTTGACTTTGAAGAAGCATATTGCCAACTTCCAAGCTGCCTACATTGAAAGAAACTGAAGGAGGCTTCTAACTGCCATCAGCAAGATCTGACGCCCTCAGTCCCACAACCACAAGGAAATTTTGCCACCGAAAGCAGGTCATTTCCAGTTGAACTGTAGATAAAATGACTGACCCGCCAATACCTGACTACAGATTGAGTTCTTGGAAAGGATCGAGCTCAAATGTGCCTGCACTCCTGAATCCCAGAAGCTGTCAGGTATTACTTAAGTGTAGTTTTAAGGCAGGTCAAGTTTGTGGTGATTCACTAGTAGAGAAATGATACAAGTTGTTTGAGTATTGTTACTTTGAAACTATTGTGAAAGTACCATAGAATAAAGCAAAGGAGATTTGTACTAGCATCATGGAGAAGCAACATTTTCTCTCTGTGAGAAAGGAGATAAGAACACAGGAGATCAATAAATCTTGATTGCCCTTCAATTAGCATTAGAAGAAAGTCTGTGAACTCATATTGCCATTTATCTTCAAAAGTTAAAGTACTTCCTAGATCTGACCACAGAAAAGTTCTAGAAACAACTATTCTGTGTTCCCAGATGGTGGCTGTTCTATATTATCTCCCAGGAAAAGGAGCCAAGCATCCTTGAAGACAGAGCTGATTACAAGTTTGGGGTAAGAAATGTGTAAGACTAAGCCTAAAGAACTTTACAATATCAAGGGGGAAAGGGAGTTATTAAAAAACAAAATGGAGGTGTGTCAAAATATTAGTGGGTACATGTGGTTATACCAAAAGTAAGGATAAGTTCAAAGGAAGATGGAAATAAGGGGCCACCCTGGTGGCGCAAGGAGTTAAGCACCGCAGTATGAAGGAGTCCACTGCCTCAGCAGCATGAGTTCGATCCCCAGTCAGCCAGGGAGAAACCCACATGGTGAGGCAGACCTCTCCTGTCTCGCCCGCTGCTCCCCTCAGCAGTGTACTTCAGTCAATCCGCCTGTTCTGTTCCCCACTGTCTCTGGTGAATCCTCTCACCCCCCGCATCTCTGGCCTGTAACCCAGTTCTTAAATGTATAAATCTTTTTTAAAAAAAGATGGAAATAAGTCAAACATACATAGGAAGGTGCTTGAAGACTATATCCTAGCCAAATGAACATCAAAACAATAATAACAGAATATAATATAATATATAATATATAATAAATACAAGAATATCAGAAAAATCCAAAATGTATTGTAGTACTGATTAGGGAGAAGGTAAAAGCCTATGGTTGACTGACAGGTAAAAAAATATTTTTTTTAAAAATGGAGATGGTGAAGTTCCCAGTTCACATATGCCATTGTAATAATTTAGGCAAGAAGCACCAATGGATTTTGTTAAAAGTAGTAAGTGAAATTTTGATGAGGAATAGGCTGATTTCTATAAGTTAATTACTAATAAGAAAAAAAAGTCACTTGGCAATAAAGAAACTTGGCAGGCACTATAGTAACCTCCAAATATAGAGGAGTCAGAGACAGGTTAATCAAAGTTCAAAATATTGATATATTGCACTAAGAAGGACACAATATCACCTCCACAGCATGCTGCAAAAATGTATAACCTGAATCTAATCAAGAGGAACCATGAGACAGTTTACAATGTAACTGGCCCATGGCTCTTCAACAATGGCAAGGTCATAAAAGACAAGGAAAATGATGAGGACCTATTCCAGATTTAAGAAGACTAAAATAGTTTATAGACTCAGAAGGCAGTGACTATGTGTTCTCAAGAGTGATTGGTTATAATATTAGACTTTTCATAAATGTTAGAGAATTTGGACAATTATATCAGATTTGGGAAATAATTCTAAGTTTTGCTTATGATTTCCAGAGATATAAGCAAGAAATGACCCAGGTCAGATTAGTCTCACTACATATACTAAATAAAATCTTATTTCTATCACTAAACTGGTTTTATCCGCTCGGGGAATTATCAAGACTGGTTTCCCTTTGTTTATTCATTTTAACATTTCCTGGTGCAGGATCCAATTCAGAATCATAACTATGTCACCAGGTGAATTAGGAAGGAATGACAGAACATCAGGCTGTACAACTCCTAATGAAATAAATCTAGGTCTTAATCATTGATCATTTTGTCTTTAATAAAAAAACACACACCCTCTATATAGAGTTATTATCAAAAAAATTTAAGTCAAACTTCTATCTGATAAAACCTCTAAACACAGAAGACAGACAGGGTAAGTGTTCTTACAGGCACAAAATCGCAAAGTTCAGATTGTGGGAAATTTTAAGAGGTCACAGAACCGGTTTTGTTAACAAGTAACAAAATACAAAAAGAGGATGGAGAGGGAACATAGGGATCAGCCAGACAACTAATTATGTAAACAAACTTTTCTTGGATATTTTTTATTTGAATAATGAAACTATTCAAGAAAAAAAAAACGAATTTCTCATGCAGATGGGAAAATGTTAACACAGAAAATATGTTAATAATCACTAACAACTAAATAGCTCTCCTTATTCTCAAGTTAGCATGCACCACATGTGTGCACACAGCCACATGGAACACACAAACCACTGCCCTTTCTCTTGCATTAGAAAGCACAGATGACTTGGTGAGCATTACCAGACATCTCAGTAGGTCATTTCCAACTCAACCTGTACACTGTGTGACACCTGCATGAATAATACTTGTGAGTAAATTTCACAGACCCTTGAAGCTACAGGTTACATCTTTTTTGTTATCAGTTCCTAGTTTCCATTTTACCAGAAGAGTTCGCAAATACCATCCTTCACTGTGTCATGATGATTACTGATTATCGCTTTAATTTTAATAAAGTTTTTAATAAACAGCTGCCCAAAATACCTTTTCTTCACTTGAATACACCAACCAAAGAAGTGGACCTGAAGGGCTGCCCATTACTCATTTTTCCATTTAATTTATAAGTTCTATAAATGTAGAAAAAAGGAGAAATAAAGGAAATGGGCATTTTGACTTTGTAAAAATAAAAAGGGCCATGTGAAAAATAGCTAGTATTACATAAAACAAAATATAGAGGGAAAGCAAAACTAAAACCAGAAAATAACCATTTTATATTGCTTTGATTTTCAGTGCCGATCACATACGGGACTCTATAAGCAGCCCCTTAAATGGAGTTTGCAAAATTGCCATTGAAATAGGTCTGAACAATTTACATTCTCCCCGACTCCCCTTAAAGACTCTGCAATAGAATCCACATTCTCTTACATGTTTCAGTCTCACACAGAAAAACTGCTAAAAAGGTAGGTTTTAGCCAGGCCCTTCAGAATTCTATGAATTTTAACTCCTTCCTATCTCTGTATTACCATCATAATTTTCTCATTCATCTTAGAGAAAATCTTTTTGGGGGGTCAGTAGAGAAATGTGTATGATTATGATTGTAAATACCATCTAGAATTTCTATCAGGTTTTCAATCAAAAGCATAGATAATACTTGTACTTCATATATAACGTTTCTCTTTTAAGAAAGAAACAGGGCCTTCCGGTGGCTCAGCGGCTGAGCACTGGGCCTCTCCTGCCACGCCCGCTGCTCCCCTCAGCAGTGTACTTTGGTCCTTCTGCCTGTTCTGCTTCCCCGCTCTGGTGAATCCTCTTACCCTCCCATTATTCTGACTGTACCCAGTGCTTGTATAAATAAATAAATCTTTAAAAAAAAAAAAGGTAGTAAAAGAAGAAACATACTTAACAAAAGGGAAAGGCAGATGCTTCCATAAGTCTATGATAATGTGGACTTAAGTTTTTTTGTTCAGGTATTCCGATTAGATAAGCCTATTGCTTTATTAGAAAAACCAACATTAAAAAATAAACACTTCCCATCTTTACTCACAGGTTATATTGTTACCACTGAAACCAGAAGAGGAAAGCCTTCAGGCTTTGATTGGAGGTGGAAGCAAAGTCAAGAGTTAAAGTACTCATATTATTTTTACTACAATAGTTATATTCAGACCCTGCTTACAGAGGTCTTACCTTTTTTGATCTGTGATATCAAAGACGTATAGTTCTGGGAGTCCTGTGATCTCATACTGGGGGTGTTTTCAGAACTTGTGAGAGTCACAGAGTAGGTTGCATTCTCTGGAGAGCTGAGATGAAAGCTGGATGGGGTTCTTGGAGATGCAATGAAGGCAACATCCTTCTCAGAACTTGAGAAGTGAGTAGTGGGCACAGAAGTGTGAGCAGCAGTCATTTTCTTCAGCACCTCCTCAAAATCTTTCTTGGCATTATTCTGTGGGTTATCAAAACTGCTAAGTTGGTATCTGACTATCTGTCGGATCGGATTTGAAATCCCTTCTCCCTTTTGGATGGCTTTGATTTTCCTACAGATGCTTTCTACTGGGTTATGCCGCTTCTCCATTGCCTTCCTTGAAGAAGCCATTCTTTACCTTTCTTCCACAATACAGACAAAGTGCCTAAGGGACAGGCAAAAGTAAACATGCTTACTAAAGTTTGCATTGTCCCAATGATCATTTGGTAATAGGTTATCTATTCTTAAATCAGTTTTGGAGGAATCTTATAAAGATGTTTTTAGATACTATGTCTTGATTCCTCCAAAACAGACTTAAGAATAGATAACCTATTACTAAATGATTGTTGGGGCAATGCAGACACTTATAGGAGAAATATAGGGGAACCAAATAAGGAATCAGGAAAAAAAAATAAAAACAAAATTAACAGGCAACTATAAATCAGAGACATTCTGTAGGGGAGGACGAGGGAGAGTAATCAAAACAGGGGAGGGACAAGCACCAGGGACTATGGCAATGGTGCACGGGTAAATTGGTGGTGGGAATTGTACACTGGAGAGGAGAAAGCAAACATTGTACAAATATGAACAATGATGTAAAATATATAAACACTTTTTTTAAAAAACAACCATCTTTAAACAATTCTTTCAACAAACATCCATGGGTTTCATTTTGGCACTCCAATTTTTCTATAAAACAGTGACAGCTAATATATAATATATATGTAAGGTTCTGACTGTGTGCTAAGCATGGTGCTAAGTTCTTTATAGGTATCAACTCATTTCATCCCCAAAACAACTATGTAAGTGTTGCTATTATATCTATCTCCAATTTTAAGCAAAGAGAGAATAAGGGACATACCCCAAATCATCCCAAATAAGGGCCAGAGCCTAGATATGAAACCAGGCAACCATTTTAGAGGCTGGACTCCTAACCGCATAACTGTTCATGTATGATAGTATGTCCCATGATGACGGTGAGGACGCTAACAGCTCCCAATGAATACCCATCTATTGAGAACTTAATAAATATGCCTATATTAAACATTTCACATATGACTAAACTTCCTACAAATCCTATCAAATATTTGGAATTATCTTTATAGAGAACGAAATCGAGGCTTGAGGAGGTAAAGTAACTTGCTAATGGTGAAATCTCTAAGTTTGTTTGAATCTAGCATAATTTATTTAATAGCCATATTTATGATTTTTTTTTTAAAGAGAAGCACTTATTAAAGTTACTGTATGGAAATTGGTCCTCCAAACCAATGGAAAATTTAAAAAGGAACTGTTCCATTTCTACCAGTCAAATAGTCTGATAGATAGTAAGAGATAAAGATGGATATTGTGTAATGATAAAGGGATCTATATAAGAACACATAATAATTATCAAGAGGTATATACCCACTATAACAGTACTGCATATATAGAGCAAATATTAGCAGACTTAAAGGGAGACACTGACAGCAACACAGGAGTAGTAGGGTATGTTAACACTCCACTTACAGAAAAAGAGAGAAAATCACCAAGGAAACAATGATTTTAACAACAAATTAGACAAAATGGATTGTATGTTGGGACACAAATGAAGCTAGAAAATTTTCTATTAAAATCATATGAATTATCTTTTATAAGGTATGAAACTATAAATCAACAAAAAATAAAAGGGAAAATCCACAAGTTGTGGACAAGAAGCAACAAGCTACTGAACTATGGAGTCAATGAGGAAATGAAATTTGAAATTAAAAATTAATACCTGGAAATGCCTGAAAATGAAACATGACTTATTCAAACATGTGAAATGAGTTATAGCCTCTACAGGTATACCTCAGGAAACAGGATGAATTGCAAATAAAAAAACCTAAGCTCTACCTAAAGGAACTAGAAAAATGAAAAAAAAACCCACAAAAGTCAGTTGAAAGAAATGATAAAAGTTAGATAAAAAGTTAATAAAGTAGAGATTAAAAAGAGAGCCAAAGAGATGAACAAAATAGACACACCTTTACTCACACTCACGAAGAGGAGAGAAAATACCTTAAAGGCAGGAATTAAAGCAGAGAAGTTACACCAGATACTAGAGAAATACAAAACATTATGAGTATTATAAACAATTACATGTCAACAACTTGGACAACTTAGAAGAAAAGGAAACATTTTTAGAAACAACATTGCAGGACTGGATACAAAGAAACATCCCCCCAAAAGTCTAGCACCAGGTGGCTTAACTAGTTATCCACCAAACATTCAAAGAATTACTTTCCTTCTCAAACTCTTCCAAAAAATTAAAAAGGAGGGGAAACTTCCAACACATCTATAAAACCAGTTATTATCAATTCTGAAACCAGACCAGGACACCACAAATAAAATTACATGCCAATATCTGATAAACAACGATGCAAAAATCCTCAACAAAATAGTAGCAAACTGAAGTCAACGGGACATTAAAAGACTTTATCAAGTGAACTTGCTCCAGGGACGGAAGGATAGTTCAGCATGTGCAAATGAGTAAACATGACAAAAACTGTCAACAAAAGGAAGAAAATAATCCTCTGAATATATCAATCCCAACCTCACACATGTTATCTACAACAAGCCAACAGCACACTCAATGGTGAATAACTGAAAGTGTTTCCTCTAAGATTAGGAACAAGACAAGGATGTCCACATTCGCCACTAACATGTAACAGTACTGGAAGCCCTACAAAGAATAATTAGATAAGAAAAGGATATAAAAGGCATTAAAATTAAAAGGATATAAAAGGCATTCAAATTATAGAAGAAGTAAACTATCACTATTGCCAGATAATATGTTAATATAAATAGAAAATACCAAGCTATTGGAAAGAATAAACACTGTAAACTGAAAGTCCACAAAATTAATATACAAACATCTGTCGCATTCTATACACAACTAATGAACTAGCAAAAAGGGAAATCAGGAAAATCTCATCAAAAAAAATAAATATGCCAAATAAATTCCAAAGAGGCGAAAGACCTATGTACTGAAAACTACTAGACATTGTTAAAAAGAAATAGAAGACATAAAGAGATGTCAAGGTATCCTGTGTTCATGGATTAGAATTAACATTGTTAAAATGGCTATATTACCTAAAAACAATATAGATCAATGTAAGCCCTATTGCAATCCCAATGACATTCTTCACAGAAATAAAACAAAAGAAAATCATGAAATGTACTTGGAAATATAAAAGACCCTGAATAACAAAAACACTCCTGAGGGGAGGAAAAAAAAAATAAAATAGGTATCATGCTCCCTGACTTTAAAGTATACTACAAAGCAATAATAAAAACAATTTGGTATTGGTATAGAAACAGACACATTGATCAATGGAACAGAAAGTCCAAAAATAAAACCACATTTATATGGACAACTAATTTACAACAAAGGAGCCAAGAGCTTAAAATAAAGTGTTGGAAAAACTAAACATCCATGTACAAAGGAATGACACTAAGCCACTATCTACCATTGTACACAAAAATTATTTCAAACAAATTAAAAATTTGGACAAGACCTGAAACCACGAAATACATATAAGAAATGATATGTGATATGCTCCTTGACATCAGCCATAGAGATGTGCTTAGGGACTCAACTCCAACAGCAAGAGAAACTAAAGCCAAAATAAACAGATCAAACTAAAGTACATCAAATTTCAATGCTTCTGAATATCATCAACACAAAGCCACATTCTACAGAAGGGGAAAAGACATGTGCATATCCTATGTCCAACAAAGGGTTAAGATCCAAAATATACAAAGAACACATAAAACTCAAAAAATAAAAAGAAAACCACCTGTTTAAAAAATGGCCAGAGGATCTGAATAAACATTTCTCCAAAAGAAGGTATAATAGTAAATAGAGATATTGAAATGTTCTTTTTTTAAAAAATTGGGGTGAACTCGGTTTACAACACTCCATGTGATTCAGAGATATAGAAGCACACCTCTTCAGATCTATGTCACAATACCACTCTTACCACCAAGGCACCCACAGTTCTCCACCATGGTCCATTTGACCTCACACTGTGCCTCCATTGTGCTTCCCCCATCCCCTCCTATAGCCTCAGTTCATCAGTCAAATTTCTAGGCTTTGTTATTGGTTTGGCTCTATCTGACCCTCTCTTTTTGTTTCTTTATATTCCACATACAAGTGAAACCCTCTGATATTTGTTTATCATCTCTTATTATTAAGGAAATGCAAATCAAAACTATGCTGAGATATCACCTCACACACATGAAAATGACTAACATAAAAAATACAACAAACCAGTGTTGGAGAGGATGTGGCTTTGTACATTTTGTAAATGGGTGTAGCCACTATGGAAAACAGTATGGAGAGTCCTCAAAAAATTGAAAAAAGACTTCCCATACAATCCATTTACTCCTTCTATTTCAAAGAGGTATCTGCACTGCCATGTTTATTTAAGAATAATTTCCAACAGCAAAAGACTGGCAATATCCTAAGTGCCCATTAGCTGGTAAGTGGATAAATAAACATGGCATATATACAACTGGTATACTATTTTTTTAAAAAAAGGGTGAATTCCTGCATCTGCAACAACATGGATGAACCAAGTGGGTGTTATGCTTTGTGAAATAAACCAGATAAAGACAAGCACTGGATGATTTTACTCATATATGGTTCACAGAGAAATCAAACAGAGAAACTTTTGGACCCTAAGACTAAGTTAGTAGTTACTAGAAAGGAGGGGGCGGGGGGAAAGTGGTGGGTAAATGAGGAAAAAGGGGTCAATGGGCTGGTGAAGGACACATGTGTTTTAGAAATACACTCAATGTAATACATGGTCAGTGTCAATGATGCACACCTGAAGCTTACATGTCACCATGTTCCTTCAATTAAAATTTCAAAAAGCACTTATTTGAGAGTAATTAAGGGAATTTGGAAGTAGACTGAAAAGGTAAATATAGGCAGAGTTTGAATAGTTACAAGTAGGTGAATATTTACAAAGGGTTTGAAAGTTACAATTTTTAAAATCTTAAAATTTTCCACCAGATCTCTTTAAAAATCATCTAATAGATTTCACTCATATGTGGAATTTAGAGAAACAAAACAAAGGAACTTAGAAAACTAAACCAAAACAAACCTAAAAACAGGACTGCAGAACAGAGGCTATGAGAGCAGGA